ACAGTTGATGTGGAAGTGTACGGTATTTATAAAAAGCAAATGTAACAAGTAAACATTGATGATAAACAGTTTTGCAGCTTGGAGGTCACCTTGATCCCCAGAGCTTTGCTTATCAGGCACTTGTGGCTATTTATTCCCCCTTGTCTGCTTGTCTCCCTGGAAAGGCTGCTGTTTGGATCCCAGGGGTGGGGAGACAAGAGCTTTTTCATGCCTGAGTGTTGAGTGGTGTGGGCTGGTGAAAACTTGCTCAGTTTGCTTGCTATGGAAGCAGAAACAAGGCTTTTGGTGCACAAGGCCTTTTCTCCTGGTGGAAGTAACTGCTGTTTGGCATAGGCTCCTCAGCAGTGAGGAGGAGTAAAACTGGAACACATGAAGATTCTGGGTTGGATAATAACATCTTGGCTTTACCAAGTCTTGATTTTGGGGAAGACTCAGTATGCGCCTTCCACGCTGAAGCTCTGCAGTGTCTGTGTTGGGGAGGGATGCAGTGGTCCTGGTCTAATGGGATGCTTTCTGTTGTTTTTTCTTGATCTCTGATTTCTAAAGCAGCAGGGAGAGGACTGACCTAGAACGAGAAAAAAATGGGAGTCCTTCCTGGCTGGTGCTGTTGTTGGGCAGCAGTGGTGGGTGCCAAAGCTTGAAGGCTCTGGGGTTCAGGCTTTGAGGTGTGTTTTAGGAAGAACTTCATGCCTTGAAAGAAAGAATGAATCCCTAAGTAAGTCCATGGAAAATGGCAAAACGAGTCAGTGAGCTGTTTCATTAATCTGCTCTAATTTGACAACTGACAACAGGCTCTCTAGGAAGAAGCAGTAAATGTCAACTCAAGTGATTTTCAGTAAGGCATTTGCTAGTGCCTTGTGCAGTGTCCATGTAGGCAGATGAGGGCAGTCCTGGCTCTCAGAGCCTGGGTTTGCAGCCACGTGGATCTGCTGGAAGTGTGGGACTGTATTTAAATCCTGTGGTCACTTGCTGTGTCTGCCATGGTGAGATTTCAGCTTTGAACAGCTGCCCAGGCACAAAGCAGGAGGAAGTCCTGTTTCACACTGAACAGCAGCATGTGGGAACAAACCCCTTGGAACTGTACAGAGCCATGTTCAGGCTGGAATTTTGGGCACTAGTGACTCGAGTGGGACCCAATATGGCTCCTGTGTTTCTAGGCAGTGTAGAAGTCAAGGTTGATGCTACAAGCACACAGACAAGCAGGAGTGGAGTTCTAAAATCATAGGAAGTTATTAAAGATTGTCTGCAATAAGATCTAGTTTTGTAAATGTGATTGAAAGGGCTGATACTGGGCAGAGAGAAGCAACTTTGAAATTCCAAGTGGGTATTAACTGACCCTGCGTGGTTTTACAGAAAGTTATTCAAGAGCTAAAGCAGATCCTGATGTTAAAAGAGATCTTAACATAATGTACTAGTGCTGTAGTGTTGTGAAAATGGCAAACATTTTACTGGAATCCCACAATCAGGAATATTTTATGTAAGGAATGTAAGGCATTCAGTCCTCCCACTGAAGCCTCTGTTGGAGTATTGTATATGATCTTGAGGCAAGTAACCAAAGTGATCAGAGATCTAGAAAAGAGGATGTAGAGAGAACAGTGTGAATGGATTGATAGTGCTTAGCCTGGAGGGGAACATGAAGGCTGAAGGGAGATTTGAGGTACTTGAATGTCCACAAAGCTGAAGGCAAAGAAGTAGTTAACTGCTCTCCCTGGCTGCTGTCTACCAAGACAGAAGTAATGTTTCTAAATTTCTGGTCGAAAGATTGGGTTTAGTCTTTCCAAAGAACTTCTAAGAAGGATAATCAAGCATTAGAATATGCTGCTTAGGGAGATTACACAGTCACCACTGCAATAAACTTTGGAGATTAGATTAGACATATGTGGGGGGATGCTAAGGTGCAGCTGAGGCCCCTCATGAACAGGAATAGAATGGCCTCTCTGGGCTCGTGTGTCACTCACACGTCAAACTGCTGAATGTGGAGGTGCATGGCTGGTAAGGCAATGTTACAGGTCATGGCAGGGGTTAAATAGTGTCTTGTGGCATCCAGTGTGAGTGAGTCCAAGCAGGACCCTCAGTCAGCGTTAGAGACTGACAGCACTCAGCTGGGCAGCTCAGGGTCTGGCACCTACAGCTCTCTCTACTGGGGATGTACCTTTGGGGTGGTTTAACTTAGCTGGGTCAGTCACGAGGAGTTTGTGTGTGTTCCTAGATCATGGACCAGGCTGCCATGGTCGGAGCCCCTGTGATTGGGCTGAATGACTCCGGAGGAGCTCGGATCCAGGAGGGAGTGGAGTCCTTGGCTGGCTACGCTGACATCTTCCTGGTGAGTGGGCTGCAGGGTGGCCAGAGGTGTGCGGGGTGTTTGTGAGGAAATATTCAGGGTATTGCTGGCCAGTTTCAGGCAGTGTTTGCTGGTGGATACAGCAGCTTGTCTGAGGCTGGTGAGACCGTGACTGTTCTCTTGGATCTTTTCTTGGTGTTGGGCAAATACCTGAACTGCTAGATCTGTTTCCCCATGTGTTAAACAAGGGCCATGATGAGCCCTGTAAAGCTCTGTGATCCAATGAAAGGCTGTGTAGGAGCTGTATCAGAGGAGTGAAAGATCAAGCAATTTACTTAATTGGAAGAAAGCCCCAAACAACTATTTAACTCTTGGATTTCCTCCTGTGTTGGAATCTGGTTTCTGCAAGCATGTATGTGTGTGGGACCGGTGAGCATGCTGTAGGGCAGGGTTTGGTTAGGTGGCCAGTGGTCATGAGCTGCCACCAGCTGTCCCCAGGTTTCCTCTGCAGTGCAGGCATGGTAAAAATTCCACACAGCAGGTTTGTTTTCCATAGGTCTGGTAAAAGGTGAAAGATTTCCACTGCAGAAAGAGGCACTGAAAGTAAACAAAACACTATACACTTGAAGAAAACTTGAGCAGCAGAGGTCAGAAGCAGCAAGTGTCTGTTCTGTCAGGATGGTAGGGTACGTCAGTGCAGGGGGAAAAAAGGATGCAAGTCAGAGAGCAGTGTGCAGTGCAGCTTTACTGGCTGGGCATGTCCAGTGCTGATGGGATTTTATGTTTCTACATGATTTTTCTTAGCTAATGCAAGAATTTTTGCTCTAGACACCCTGCTGCTCGTTTTTTCAGTCAGATGCCATTGTTTTATGTGCCCACTAAAACACACTGTGTGTGCACAGAGCATCAGCATGGGCATGCCCTTGGTAGGAGTGGGAGCCCCAGCTGAGCAGGGACCAGTGCCAGTGGCCTGGGACACAAAGCCACCTGTGCTGGTGGGCAGCAGTGACTCACCTTGGTGTCAGACCCAGGCAGGTGCAAGAATTGGATTGTAAAAGAATTTCTGCCCCAGTTGGGTAATAAAACTTGGTTTTACCCCTGAGCATGGTGCACCTGCATGTTCACATTCCAGGGACATCCACTTCTCCCCACTGCAGGCTCAGGGCAGTTTGTACCTCTGCAGCATCTGTTGAGGTTGCTCATTCTGCCTTCCCTTGCAGTCACTGCATGGTGTAGGAAATGAGGTGTATGGGGACAGAAGGGAGCAAAGCAGAAACAAAATCGTTTTTGTTTTATTTGCGCCAAGACACTCTCTAGGTGTTTATGAATAAAACAAGCTGTGTCCTCTCCTGTTTGTGATTGTGGATTCTTGCAGAATCAGGCACAGACTTAAAGATGCACACTGTTGGCAAAACTAGGTATCTTTTTCTTTGTTTTTCTATTGCAGAGAAATGTCCAGTGTTCTGGAGTGATTCCCCAGATCTCCCTCATCATGGGCCCTTGTGCTGGGGGAGCTGTGTATTCACCTGCCTTAACTGATTTCACTTTCATGGTGAAGGTAAGGGTGGAGCATGACTTGCTGCTCTAACCGTGGTCAGACAAACCAACCCCACAGGAAGGACTGGTTTCTGACATGGTCTCCTGCTTTGGATTAAGCTTACCTTGCATGAAGTCAGGAAAGCTTTCCCAAGTAACTTGTAGATAATTACATTTTCAGTGGGTGTTGAATACAGTGCAGTATTTTAGAGAAATTTGTCCCTCTGTTGTACTCTGTTCTTATTTTGGGGAAAGTCTCTAGAAACCGTGGCTGTTCCTTAGGTGCTTTTGCAGCTTGGGTCTGGCATTCACTGTGTGGTTTTGCTCTTTTCCCTCCCCCAGGATACCTCCTACCTGTTCATCACTGGCCCTGATGTGGTGAAGTCTGTTACCAATGAAGATGTCACCCAGGAGCAGCTCGGGGGTGCCAAGACTCACACTGCTGTGTCTGGTGAGAGTGCGAGGTTTACTTCGCTCACTGGAGTTCTGCAGGGTCAGCAGGAGGGTTGGGCTGGCTGAGTGCTGAATGCCTAATGCAGATGGGCCCAGATTCATAAAGCTCTGCTTAAGCACAGGATTTCACTCTGCATCCAGCTCTCTTGCTGGTCCATTTTAGTAATGGAATGCAAACTAGGGGAAAGTGGGAGTGTGGGGGAGTTCTGGGGTTTGGAAGAGAAAGCAGCACATCCAGAAAAGATCCTAGAAGTGGGAAGGCTGTTGGAGGGCAGGGCTTAGCTCAGCCTGTCTGGGGCAGGGTTTTTGTTTGTTGTCCAGAAATTTGCATGGGTCGAAGGATTCTCAGCAATGTCTTGTTTGCTCACTAACATGATTGATTGAACTGCTTCACTACAAACCAAGTGGCAGGGTGAGATGAAGTACCTTTTTTTCTCACTGGGAAAACCGAGTCATGAATCTTCCCGAGGCTCAAATGACTGTGGGATCTCAAATTCTCTGTGAATTGAACTGATGGTGTACCAAACCCACACACACAGGCGCTGCCTAGATCCAGCCTTTGTGAAAGAAGTCCAGTGCCTGAGTGCAGCACAGTAACCTGGACCCAGTTCCAGCAGGGTGGGATCCAGCTAGGCCTGCAGCAGCTGATAAACCAGTTCATGTTATTGTAGATGTGAGACCAGCAGTCCAGACCTGCCATGGAGGAAGTCTGATACAGCCACACATTTTCTAGGTATATTTAGCTGACAGATTTGGTGGCTGAAAACTCCTTGTTTTAAAACTTCTTGCCCTTGCCACCTTGTGCCTTTACTGGTGTATGTTTGAAAAAGAAACCTTGCTCAGGAATTCCCATCCCTGTTTGCTTGCAGGAGTTGCTCACAGAGCCTTTGAGAACGACATCGATGCTCTGTTGAACCTCCGAGAGTTCTTCAATTATTTACCCCTGAGCAACCGCGACCCGGCGCCCGTGCGTGAGTGCCACGATCCCAGGTACGGGCACAGTGCCTGGGGTGTGCTCTCTGGGCTCTGCACCCTGGGGGCACTGAGCAGTGTTCTGCTCCTGGGGTCGTGGTGGGTCAGGCTGCACTGCAGTGTGGGATACATGGAGTGTCTCAGCACACGTGTGCCCATCCTGGTCGCTGCCAGGGCTGGTTGTTGCTCCTGCAAGCAATATATTACCCAGGCTGTGTGCACAGCCTGGGGAGAGCTGCTCTCATCCCTTGCAGCAAGTGAGGCAGAAAACAGCACCGTGAACAGAAGTGGCAGAACTTGCCCTGGTGGGTAAGTTCTGCTTGTTAGGTATGGGGAAGCAACAAGGAGAAAGCTTTGTGTGTCAGGTACTTGTCCCAGGCTCATTGTGTAGCTGGCAACATAACACAGGAAGGACTTGAACCATTTCAAGAGGGGAAGACCAGCCACTGTCTGGGCTTTTATCAGAGCATTTTTCCAAGAGCTGGAGGGACAGCCCAAGAGCAGCACAGGATGCAGTGTAGACAGCCTTGCTGGTCCTGTTTTAGCATGGAGTAAAGGCATTTTGACCCCAGATCCGGTTGCATCCCAGTTGGGCCCTTTCCGCAGGGAGCCCTGGGAGGCTGTCGCCCTCTCCCATGTGGGAGCTGCGCCTGAATCCCAAATTCCTTGTGGTTCCTCAGGTGTGTGTCATCTCTTGTGATCCTTACATGCATGAAGGTTTATTTCCATGCTCCACTGAGCTTTTCAGTGTCTGTGCAACAGTCAGTTTGGGGAGGTGGTTTTGGGTCAGTTTTACAAATCCCTGCTCTGGTACCTGAGCATTGTTCACTTCTGGGTGAATAACTTTGCCAGTTGCTTTTAGAGCATGGTCAGGCAGGTCAGTTACTTACTGGTCCTAAAGTTTTCTGAGGTGTTGATCTTTAGGAATTCATTAAACTGGAAGACTGTTCTAGTTTGATAGTGACAAACCAAAGCAAAGCTCTTGGATGATTTGGTAAGGCTTGGGGGATTATCTCTGAGGTTATCATGGTCTTTCTAAGCTTTCAGCAAGTGGTACTGGGATAATTACTCTTCTGTAGACTTGGACTTGCTATTTGAATTTCATTATAGGAACAGCAGTCCATTTTTAAAATCAATGTACTTTATAACAGGTAGTTTGTTTCCTTGTGAGCAGTTGTCAGTTATGTTGTAGCTGCTAATGTACAAGAGATTAGTTCATTATTCCTAAAGGGAGCCAGTCTTTTCCGTGGCATGGGATACACTGTTAGAGGATCACAGTCTAATAAATGCAACTTGTGCCAGGAATTTCAGTTTGGGAGCCTTTGTGCATGTGAAGGCAGGTCTGTGTGTTAAATACACCTGTTTGTATAGCAGCATCTCCATTTGTGGTGCTAATGCATAGATTGGTGTTATTTCCTCTGGACATACTGACCTCTTAATAGACTCCTTGTCCTTGGAATTGATGTGTTTGACCCTTATGGCTGCTCCAGTCCCTGCCCATTGCTATAGAGTAATTGCTTTCTTACTGCATCTTTGGCACACCTCAAAAAGTTCTTTTTGGTGCTGACAAATGGCAGTTGTGGCTGCTGGGACTTGTGTTGGTGGAGCTTTTGTTGCCAGTGGCTTGGGTTCTTAGGGCACCTAGCTGTGTGGTGGGGAACATGCCCCTGCCTTGGAGCGTGTCTGGGTCATTGCATTTGGGGTGTTGCACAATGTGATTTTTACCTGTGTGTGTGTCTGCAAATTTCTGGAGGAGGTTATTTGTCAGCTCTGGGTACCCAAGTGCAGTTTTACTTCTCTGCTGAAAGAAAAGCAGTGTCCATGGGCTGAGGGTGTCTGCAGCTGTTGCAGGCTCTGAAGGTGGGCAGCAGCTCCTTGCTGACCAGTGGGGTCTGTAGGACTCACAGTTCTCAGCCCCTGGAGCCCAGTCACTCCAGCAGCAAGCTCGTGTCTCTGGCTGTGAGGGCTTGAAGGATGTTTTCAGACATGTGGTATCCTGGATAATGCCTTCATTTTGGGGATTTTTTTTTATTGTAATGTGTTATAATTTCCCTCAGCATTCCCCAGCACCATGAATTTATGGGAACAATAATTTCATTTTTCCACTTTGCCTGTCCTTTGGGGATACCACAGGCAGAACTTGGAGCACATCAGTGTCTAGTTCAGGGACAAGAAAGTTTAAAATCTTCTGTAGTTTGAGGTTCAGTATGTTAAAATCTGTTTAATTTTATGAGGTTAAGGTTTCAGTATATGGTTCCATGGAAGTATTTGCATGAAATGCTTGTAATCATGTGGAAAAAGCACTTGAAGTGTTGCTGTCAGCTTTATTCTATTAATAGCTGTATCTTGCCCTCCCAGCAAGGGCTGTGCCTCTCTTCCTGTGTGTGTGAGGGAGCAGGGACTGTGTTACTAGGGTTTGTCTGGCTTTGACAAACTGCAAATCATCACAGAATCATGGAATTTTAGGGGTTGGAATGGAGCTTAGAGATCATCCAGCCCCAACCCAATCCCTCCCACCAGAGCAGGTTGCCCAAGGCTCATCCAACCTGGCTGTGAACACTGCCAGGGTTGGGGCAGCCACAGCCTCCCTGGGCAACCTGGGCCAGTGTCTCACCACCCTCACAGAAAAAACTTGTTTTCTAAGATCTAACTTAAACTTCCCCTCCTTCAATTTGAACCCGTTACCCCTTGTCCTTCAGTGTTAAACTGGGTGTCTAGAGCCTTGTGTCATCTAGTTCCAAATGCACCAAACCATGGCACTGTTAGAACAGCAATCCAGCAGCAACTCCACAGAAACACTATTTATAACAAGTACAGATCAGTGTTTTTATGGAACAGCACAAATACACTCCTTGCTGGCTCGAGAGGAGAGAACCAGCTCCTGCCCCTGTATCTGGGGAGGTTCCCATGCAGTCTCCGAGAGGTGGAATTGTTTTCCTGAGGTCTTGGGTTTGGTGCTCATCTGCTCTGTCAGTAATGGTGCTCACACTTGCCTGTTCTCCACAGTGATCGTTTGGTTCCTGAGCTGGACACAGTCGTTCCGAGCGAATCCACTAAGGCCTATGACATGCTGGACATCATCCACTCGGTGAGTCTGCCTGTGATTGATGTCTGTGTGATACATCCTGGGTCAGAATCCCTGGCAGAACCCAGCACAGTGGCACTGGAGACAGAGACTATTGGTTATTTATTTCAGTCTTCACAAGTGACTGTGTTCACCTGTGTAACAGCTGTGAGAGAAGGAACAACAAACTGCAGGGAAAAAAGATTTTAGCAGGTGACAAGAATCCAGGATTTGTTTTCAGGATACAGCTTATGCTGCATGCACAGCTGTACAGGTGAAGGATGCTGTAATTCAGTTTTCTCTTGGGGGTAGAAAACCCTTTCCCCCTTGAGTTCTGGTGCTTGTCCTCTCCCTGCACTGTTATTTTTGTCTTGAGTTCTGGCACTTTGATAAGAGAGTAATAACCCCCGAGAGCAGATTTACCCTTCCCTCTTTGAGCTAACAGACAGTTACACACACAGTACCAGGATAGATATGAGTTTCAACTCCCAAGTTGGGAGCCTGGGGACTGCAGAGCTCCTGGCAGGGGCAGGACAGGAAACTTCTCACCACTTCTTGGAAAAACAGTTCTTAAAAAAGCCAGTGTACAAATAATAGGTTTTATTAAAGCAGCACAGACGGTTCTGGCAATTCTCTTGCCTAACTTTGAGTACTTCACTTTTCCAGGCTTAACAACCTGAACCATTACAAATCTTGGGCAGAGAACAGGGTTGTAAGAGCAGTTTTATCCCCTGGGATGGTTAGAGCCCCTGAGGGTTCCTGACTTCTGGATGTTAACCTGTCCAGTGCTGCTTCTGCCACTTGGCTGTGGAGCAGCAGCTGACCAGAGATCTGAGGTGGCTGCTGGAGCCAGGAGGGACTGTTCCACAGGCAGCACATCCAAGTGGGAGCAGTTCAGCTGGGTTTGTAGCCCTTTACAAACGTGTTGCCCTTTGCCTGTCTCTCCCAACATCTCATTCAGCTAACACAGTCAGTTTGCAGCTGGCTGCATTCAGGCTCCTTTCAGTGGAGAGAGCAAGCTCAGGCTGTTTTTAATCTCTGGATTCTTCCAGTCTGAACTGCAGCACTATGTGTACTGAGAGGTGGTGTTTAAAAACAGTTCTTAATTAGGGAAAAACCCCAAACCCTCCCATGGGTTTTGAGAAGTGTTAAGGAAAGAAATAAAACTAATTTTATTATGTCTTTCACAACTTTTCTATGCAATGACTTGAGTGGCAAACTGCAGCCTGATGGGCACAGTGTCATTAACAGCTGAGTCCAAGGGATCCTGGTGGAAGCCTTGGCAGTGTGTAGGTGTCGCTGCTGCTCTGTGGGTGATGATGGTATCTCACCGTGGAGTTTGGCAGTGCTGAGTGCTCCAGTGGGTGTCCCTTTGCAGTGCACCTCAGCCCGGGAGCTGTGGTGCTCCCACAGGTGTGTGGCTCCAGGGGGATGTTGGCTGAGGTGTGTGTTCTGCTGGTGTGGCTAACAGCATCTCCCCGTGGCACAGCCTGGCAGTGGCCTGGGGAGAGGGAGGCACCAGGGCTCCACTGGGCTCTGTCACAGGGCTTGAGCTGGCACAGAAACAGAGGGGACAGTACCGTGTCACGGGGAGTTTCTGAGCTCCAGGAAGTGCTGCTTATCACTGAAAATCGTTCTGTGTCTGCCTCTAATTAAGATGTGAGAAAAATGTTCTTAACATCTGAGGGGAAGATCTAATTTTTATAACCTAGGGAGAAAGGCTCAGGAGTTCTCTGATGGCATGCTGAACTGACAGTTTTGAGAAGAAGTGCAGCACGGGTTAATTCCTGGAATGAAAGCTGCAAAGACTAAAAGGTTTCCCCTCCCTCTCTCCTTCTGTTAAAATTCTGCATGTTCTGAACTGTTCTACAAGTTGCAGTAGGGAGGTGACTGAGTTTGTGTTTGCCTGTATGTTTGTATCTGTCTGTCCTCACGAGGGCTCTGCCTGACTCCTCTCCCAGGTCGTGGATGAACGGGAGTTCTTTGAGATCATGCCCTCCTACGCCAGGAACATCGTGGTGGGATTCGCCAGGATGAGCGGACGCACTGTCGGCATAGTGGGCAACCAGCCCAAAGTGGCATCAGGTCAGCAGTGCCTGTTTCTTTGTGAGGCTGTCTGAGGTTACACTTGCTTGTCTGTGTGCTCCTCCGCTCCTCACTGTGCTTTACCTGTGAGCTGGAAAACTAACAGGAACCCAGGTCACTTCTGTAGTGGATCAACAAGGTGATCCTGCTCCCAGGTAATTAAAGGAGTGCTGCATCCAGCACAGGAGGAGCACTGGGAGCACACAGTGGGGATAGTAGACCACCACTCCCATGGCAGCAGCCTAGAGGTCACTGGATTAATCAGAATATGGAAACAGCATATTTACTTCCATGGCATTAAAAATCCCTGAAACTCTTCTGCAGAGGGAGGTAAGTTTGTGGCAGTGCCAGCAGAGTGTGGGGCTTTGGCCTCAGGTATTCTGGGCAGGAAGGCACCAGGTGCAGCTGGAGCCAAGATCACCTCAGGAATTGTCAGGGGTGTTGTGGCATTCTCTCCTTAACCCAGTAATTCCTGAAGTGACCTGCTCCAGTCAGAACTTTGTCCTCTGCTCCTTGTTTTTAATTCTTGTGTCTGTCTGGGACAATCAGGTGACACAGTATGGGGCTTGATCCCTTTGGAATCTACCAGGTATGACCATCAAGACACCAGACAGAAGGTTTTAATATTACTTTAATCTTCATTTGGTATTCTCAATTTTAACAACTATTTTTAATGTGTCACAGACTCTCTTACCCAAAATGTGTTTTGGTGTAATACAATTGTGCATGATGTAACTCTAAATGGCTCTGAAACAGAACAGAAATATTCTGCTGTATGTCTAACAATGCTGACCTGTCTGTCTCAAAATACTGCTGGACTGTTTAGCATTTGGGGTTTTTTATGGAGAACTCTGCAGCCTTTCAGTGTGACTGATACGGAAATACCAATGAAGAGAAAACTACAGAAAAATATTTTAAGTTACAAGAATATAATGAAACTGCTCTGTTTTGGCAAAGAAAGTCTTTATCACGGGTCAGAAAAAGGAAATGAGCCTTTGAACGGAGCCTGTTCTGTAATTTTAGTTCTAAATCAGGAAAACTTCATAGCAGATTTATCTACAGATAAACCTTTTGGTTGTTTTGAGAAGACAATCCAAGGAAAATGGAAGTGTGATTTTGAGCTGCCCTGAATTACTGCAGATCACTGGAGTTGTTAACACCTCTCTCTGTTCCTCCTCCAGGGTGCTTAGACATCAACTCCTCTGTGAAAGGAGCTCGTTTTGTTCGGTTCTGTGACGCCTTCAACATCCCCCTGATCACCTTTGTGGACGTCCCAGGGTTTCTGCCAGGTATGCCATGCCATCAGTCAGCTCCTTGCAGGGTGGTGCTGGGAAAAACCATCTCGTACAGATGGAGACCTTGACTGTAGTAAACTTCAATCAGCCAGGTTTAAAATGCCACTGTTTGGGGCAGAAATGCTGGGCTCTAAGGACAGTGATTCTAGGTACCAACACGCCATCACAAAAGGACAGTGAGGTACCAGGAAAGAGAGGGCTGCATTAGCCTGCCTAGGGCACAGGCTCTGGGCAGGAGTGTTGGAGTGACCTGCTGGAGAACAGGTGCTGAGGGGAGTACCAGTGTTCCACAACTGAATCTCGTGTTAGTGCTGTGGTACAAACCATGGTTTACCCTGAGGCCTCCTCCTCTCAAAGCACTGAACTGTCAGTAGTCAGCATTCCAGTTCCTGCCTCAGTGGAGTGGAGTTGGCACATTTTAACCACGAGGCAATACCAAAGGTGTTGCAGAACCTCCCTCTCCCCACTTGCCTCCTCTGACAGGACCTGCAGCAGCTTGGGTCACCTCAGAGGCCACCACAGGACTCCAGATTTGGGCAGCTGCTCAGAATCCAAGAGCAAAGCTATTTCCATACAGCTAATTAAACTAGTAACTTAATACTGCAGAATAGAATGATGGTTTGAAGACAGATAAATGCAAGAAAAATGGAGAAAGCTAAAGAGAGAAGACCTGGGGCTTGACTGTGACCCTAAACTGGTGACCTTACAGACCAACAGTGGCTGCTTCTGGTCACGGATCATTCATAGAGGTGCTCAGTACCCTAGAGACACTGCCTAGGGACCCTCAGGATGTTCATGTGGCTGTGGTGGGGGTTAGGTTTGGTGATGGTTTTGTGAATTCCTTGGAGTGAAAGAACTGTCCCTTGCAGGCACAGCTCAGGAGTACGGCGGGATCATACGTCACGGTGCCAAACTGCTGTTTGCCTTTGCAGAAGCAACTGTGCCTAAAATCACTGTCATCACCAGGAAGGTAAGAGGGCACAATCCCATGGACTTCTTTCAGAGGTCCTGTTTCCTCCAGTGGCAGTTTTAGTTCTGTGAAGCTTTGTCTGTCTGTCTCATTTGTGCTTTTGATTGTTGTCACATTTCCATTTGTCCATCTGGGAACACTACTTTGCATGGGGGTGCAAGAGGCCATTTCTTCTATTCCATTACCTCAGCTCCTTCCTTCCTCTTGTCCCTGCATCCCTCTGATACTTCCTGGTTCTGCTCTCTGCTCCCTCCCTGGAATGCCTTCTCTCCAGTTCTTGTGCTCTGTCTCCCAGGCTGCCTTGCTAGGACATGATGTCTGTTTGCACACAGCAAAGCTGCATTCCCTCTAGCCTTTTTTCTCCCCCTCCAGTCCTGGCACTGACTGCACCCACCTTCTGCTGCGGCTGCAGGTCTAGTACTCGTGTGGTTTCTCTTCTTCCACAGACTTCTCCCACTCTCTACCTCATTCTCTTTCTCCGTGAGTTGCCTGACCCCACGCTGCAGCAGCTCTGGGGCTGTCCTCCACAGGCTTAGCCTGCCCTTGCTGCTCTGCCCCTCCTGCTCTTTTTCCCAAGAGGCTTCTGGCTTATCATGGCAAAAAGGGAAAAGAACTGTCCTCCTTCCCTTCCTTTGCCTGCTGATTGCTCTGTGTGTTTCCTTCCTGTGCTTGCCAGTCCTGCAGCCTTGCTGCAGTGTTCAGTACTGCCCTGACAGGGACTGCACTCAGTTTGCTCTGCAGTCCTGCACTATCCATTTATCACTGCTGTCTGGAGCACTGGTGCTGCACTCCCTGGCCAGGGAGTTCCAGAAGCACATGCTGACTGCCTGGCCTGTGTGCCTGTGCAGGGTGAGGCTTGAGGCACTGCCTGCCCTGGGGGTGGGCTGGGTGACCAGCAGCCTCCTCCTGCTCTCTGGGCTTCTGTTGAACAAGGGCCGTGTCCTGGGCGATCGGTGCAGCCAAACGGAGACGCTCACCCTCTCCTTCAGGCAAAACTCAGCCCCTTAGGCCTAGCAGGAGCTGCAGGAGGAATGCAGGCTCTGGCTGCTGCGAGGTCTCTCCTGGGGTGAATAATTCCTTGGTTTCTGTTCCAGGCGTACGGAGGTGCCTACGACGTGATGAGCTCCAAGCACTTACGAGGAGATGTGAATTACGCCTGGCCCACGGCCGAGGTGGCTGTGATGGGAGCCAAGGTAAGCCCAGGCCCCCTGGGGCAGCAGCACGGGGCAGGCCTGGGGGCTGGAGATGGAAAGGGGCATGGCCCACAGCTCCCCTGGCTCCAGCTCAGGGACTGACTCGAGGCCTCGTGTTCCCAGGGTGCTGTCCAGATCATTTTCAGAGGCAAAGAGGCAAACGCAGAGGCAGAGTATGTGGAGAAGTTTGCCAACCCCTTCCCTGCTGCCATGAGAGGTAAGGTGATCTCTGCACAGAGAGACAGTTGGAGCTAGTTAGCAAAATGTTTACTAACAGACAGGTTATTGGGGCAGAACATTTGTCTCTCAGAAAGGTGCTGCTTAACCACAGCTTGTGCATGAGAAGGACAAACAGTTTTCACTTGCAGCTTTGCAGCAGTAACTGTGCTCTAGAAGGCAATTTAAGTTAAAAAACTATTGGCACAGGAATATTTCCCTTCCAGGCTATTTTAAATCAAGTTAATTTGTAACTTATAAACTCATTTATTCCAAATCCCATTCTGATTTTGCTAATTTGCGTTCCAGCCTGGGTACAGAAGGCTGAGGCAAACACTTCATGCTGGTCAGGTTGGGTGTTCTGGTTTCTCACAGGGTTCGTGGATGATATCATCCAACCATCGAGCACCCGCGCGCGCGTCTGCCACGACCTGGACGTGCTGGCCAGCAAATCCCAGGCCAGTCCCTGGAAAAAACACGCCAACATCCCGCTGTGAGGGTGAGGAGGGCAGCACAGCACTGCCCTGAACACAGGTCATGGTCCATCAGCTCTGCTTGGCAGGGGAAATAGTTGGTTTAATTGTGATCTTGCTAATAACTATCAATAAATCATAGTCTATATTTCATTTAACTTTGGGGTCTGACCAGTTCACCTCTATAAACCCTTTTGGTGGTTAATAGTCACCCCTCCCTGCCATGCCTGCTGGCAGGCGAGTTGTTCTAACTGCTCAAGGTCAAATGTTCCCTTGGCTCCCTCATTCCACAGGCCCTGGAGGTGCCTAGAATCCAGGCCATGCTGCTCTCGGACTAGCCTGTTCTGTTCCCCTGCTGGACTGGCCCAAGTTGTGACTTTTCCGTGCTGGAATGCTGGGTCTCAGGTGGGTGTCAGAGCTCCAGGCTGGGGTAAAGCTGGAGGGTACAGGGAAGGTGCAACCAGCCTCCTCTTAGGGACAGGAGACAAAAAGGCAGTTCTGGTGGGACATGGAAATGCTTCTCCTTTAGCAGAGGCTGCAACAGAGACCTCCAGAGGCTCTGTCCAGCCTCACTTTTGCTAGCAGTATTAGTCAGACGTGCCAGGAGGTGCTGCAGTAGTGTTCCCTCTGCTCAGCCCTGTGCTCACTCTGCAGGAGGAGCCCCAAAGGCAGTGAGGAGCAGCTGCTGTCACTGCTGCAGCAGCTGGCAGGTACGTGAAGTCCTGAGGGGTCCTGGCTGGTGTCACCTCGGTGATTAAAGGCACTACTCGCACGTGTTAACTGGGAGAACAGGTATAGTTGGAGTTTCTGAGTTTGTAAGGCCCAAGAGGATTCTTCAGAGGGAATTAGTGGCTGAGCAAGGCTGGTGGCTGCCCCAGGATTAGAGGCAGAAGCTGTGGTAAGTGAGCTGATGCACACACAGCTCCCTCCAGCCTGCCCAGAGTCAGGGGCCATGGGACACCCAATCACCACTGTCACAAAGAGGAAAGTACTTGGTTAGTGGTTTTCTGACCTCATTGGTGCTACAGACTCCATCCTCTCCTGTCCCTTGCCAGCACAAGAATTTGGCTGTTCTGTCCCCTCCATTTCCAAGCAGTCAGTTGCTCTACCAGCATGAGGCTTTGGAAACACGCTGGGAAGCTGCTCTGGCAGTGTCCTGAGGAGTCTCTTGACTTCCAGTCACCTACAAAAGCAGAGATACCCAATCAAATCCTTTGAACAACGAGCAGCCCTAGAGCTCAGAAGCATGACAAGTTACTTACTGTGTTCCCCAGGGCAGCAGGAGTTGAGCGTAACTTACAAGCAGTTGGAGACAGGGTGTTCAGGCTGTGTCTTGGGACTGTGAATCCTATCCCTGTTCCTCACCTGCTGCATCTTGTTACTGCCTGACTCTGGTGATTTTTCCTTAGGACGTGGGCCAGGTGGTGAATAAGTCAGTTTTCTTTAGCACTGCAGCAGTGAGATCATTCGTGGGCTGGACGGAAATAGCAGCTGCTGTCTGAGCCATGGAGTAATGAGGACATTTCGTTTCAGGGCTCCGCACACCTTCACTTAGCCCAGCTGGTTGTTAGACCTTCCAAGCCTGCAGCTTCCTCCCATGTGCTCCAGGTCACATCAGCCGTGCAGGGCAGGACAGAGAAATTGTTCTCACAGTTTCTGGCAGTTCAAGCACCTGTAAGTTTTACCAGTGCAGCTCTCCCTGGGTGTGGGGCCTTCCCAGACTCACAGCAATCTCAGGGTGACACTCACAGATCAACCAAAAACACACCACGGTGGAGGGGGGAGAAGCCCAGAGGGAATTTTCCATCACTCTGAGGCTGAGGGGGTAAGGTGGTGGTACAGAGTCTGGTTGTGAAGCCTGGTCTACATGAAAACTCCCTGTCAGTATTTCCTTTGCAATGCCTTGGATCCCTGCTAATAAATGGGATGACAAGATGTGATGGGTCAAACAAGCATTTGAAGAAAGGTATAGTGAAGAGGGTGCTCATCATACTCATGATTTTGAATAGTTTATTAAATGAAAGGTGAAGCATCAGTTTTAAATTGTACAAAAGGAAAAAAAAAACCTCATATTGTAAATGTACAATTTACAGAATTACTAGCAAAACCAATCAAGGAGACACTCATAATACAAAACCTAGTGGCTGCAAATGGAACTGGAGACCCACTGCAGGTATCGTGCTCAGAACTGCTTGTTGTACAGTATTCCACAATGTCAAGCTAGGAATGAGTTTTCCACACAGAGGACTGTGAAGCACAAGGTTTGTCTGAGCCTGACTCGAACCAGGCAGCAGCTGTTGTGCCACTATGCTCAGAGTGGTGGTGGGGCAGGTACTGCAGCCCCTCCTGCCCCGTCACTTCAGCGTGGGCAGAGGAGGGAGGGAACAGCATGTGTCAAACTCAGCTACTCCTCTGGTTCAGAACACCCCAGCACACCTCGAGGAATGGCTGAATTACCTGGGCAAACATTTTTGGCAACTGTGTCTGAGAACTGCACGTGTGAGCCAGCGCGAGCTGCGCTGTGGAGCTCGGGCTCGCTCCCTCCAGCAGTGCTGGTGCTAATGGCTTGGGTTGTTTTCAGTAAGCTTGGAACAGAAAAAGCTCCAGGATTATTCTGCAGTTCCTAAAAAAAAGCACCTCTAAAACTGCTGTGCTCCACATGGGGCAGTCGCTTCACCTCTCACCTGAGCTGGCAGAGAGGGCGAGCGCTGGGGTCGGGTCATGCATCCACCCCAGGCACAATGAAACCCCAGATTACTGAAGACATTGAAAAATCTCTTGTTACAATGAATTGGCAGAGAATGTTTTGGAGATTTTTGGCTTTTTTTTGGATGTTTTTAGCTTTTTTGAAAAAATCCTATTTTTTTCCCCAAAGAATTACTCTCAATATGCACAGGTAACACTGAAAATGGTAGCTGTATTCCATTGTAAGCTTAAGAACTTCACCATCTAAGCACAAGTTTCTATGCAGCACATACAGTACTTCTAACTGCAAAATTAACTTACAAAAATAGCGGAAAGGGATTTACGGCAGGGAACAGAAACTGCTTTATGGTACAGGTACAATTGCTTTCGGGATGCTAAGGGATCTCTCCCCCACCCTGGGGCTGTGGTTTTAGGAGAAAGTTGCTGTTTATGTACCTTGGGCTGTCAGGGCTTGGAGTAGGTAGTAAAAACAGCAAAGTGATTACTTGAGAACCGTTTGTGTGTTTTACTGAGAATACTTTATTTGCTGGTATAAGTTGCTAAAAATGCACAGAGCAAGTACCAATAGAAAATTTACTGTTTTTGTGTCCCCATGTGCTATATAAAATGAATGTTACACAGCATCTGTTGGAAAAGTGGCGTCGTGGACATCTCTCACCTCGTGTCCCATTATAAATAAAAATAAATCTTCTCAAGAGTATAAAATCTGGGTCTATCATATCAGAATCTGAAATTTTTTGGCAGAGATGCACGTCACTAGAATCTAACCTCTTCTCTGAGTGTTCTCCTCCGTGCCTACGGGAGGGCATCAGCGTACCTTAACGTTACCAGATCCAGTGTGTCCGAGAACACTTTCCGTAGCCAGAACGACCTGCTCAGCATCCTTGCTAGTCAGTGGCTGATAGGCATAGGTTTAATACAAATGGCTAGCTTTGAAAACATAAAAAGGCAAATGTTAAAACTGTTTTAAATTGTACAGCAGAAAAATAAAGTTAAAAAGTTCTGTTTTCACTCAATGTTGTTTTCAGAAAACATTGTAGAACAGTGTTTATTTCGACAGCTGTCTTAACAATTTAAAACTTCTCCTTATCCAGAAAAGAAAAATCTGCATTAGGACAGTCAAGAACAGGGATACAAATGATTTTTTAGGTCAGCCCTTCTGAGGTGAGTGGATTGGCCAACCTTCCTGGGTGTCATCACGGAGCTCCTCTTCTCCATCACTACAAAAAGGGATTGACCTCAATCATTTGGTTAAAAATCAAACCGTATCACATCAAAAATGTGGTTTCATACAAGCTATCACAGTATATAGGCCTCTAGCTCTAAACAATAGAGTTCCAAGTTTGTAAAATGTCTTCACCAGACTTCAGAACATGGGCATGCCAAATCCCTGGAAAAGGGAGGTAAAAGAGAGCAGTTAAGGGGCTGTGAGACTCACCGGCAGGAGCCTCAGACACAGAGTGCAGGGACAAGACAAGCCTTACTGAGTCATCCTCGATGATGGCTGCGGAGTCGAAGAAGTCTGGCCTCAGCTCCGCGCGCTCGCGCCGGTTCCGCGACGGCGGCTGCAAGGAGGAGAGTGTCAGCAGGGCCTGGGAGAGGGGCTGGCACACAGGGCACCTGCCAGCACCACCAGCTCTGCCCAGAGGGCCGGGAGAGCACACCCTAAATTCATCCTCTGGTTGAGGAAGGGTGTAAACGCTGATGGAGTCTCAATTCGCAGTGTGCTCGAAGCTAAGGACTTGCCCAAGGCTCTGGCTGACTGAAGGATGCTCCCTTACTGGCACTGTAGGGCAGACTGCACAAAACCTGTCCTTATGCTTTTAATTCTATGGTGAAACTTCAGCTCTGGCACCACCAAAAATGGATTTACAACTAGAAATAGTTCCTGAAGACACTGTAGTATTTCTGAGGACTGACCCTTTGTGCTGTCCTGCCCCAAGAGTACGAGAGGCAGTGTGACCTTCTCTGGCTTGGTCAGTTCCTTCCCTGCCTTGCCGTGGATGGTACTAACTCATGAATGCTGGCACTGACCTCAGGGCTCAGCAGCTCCAACGGAATTAGCACCAGAATTTGCCTTCCAAGACATTAGAGCCCAGTCCTAATGTAACCTGGGCCTTGTTTGGATATAACAGGAGGAACAGGAAGGCATAAAAACAGTCAAGTGTGTAATGCAAACTGCTCCCTCTTCCCCTTTGACAAGGACATTTACTCTGAGGGCGAGGATGGTGGTGCCGGAAGTGCTGCTAAGGAGCTCCCACCTGGAGTCAGTGCAGCACATGAAAGGCCCTGAGGTTGCCAGTGATAGAAGGACCTTTGGGAGCAACTGA